GGCTGGGCTGCCTCTGCAGGCTTCCGGGGGTGGAAGCTCTCCTGCAGCCCCCCAATTGCCCCCTCCCCCAAGATGGCAGCCTGCGGCAAGTGCAGCCGGTCTGATGGCCGAGTGCTGTGATGTGCCGAGTGTGGGTACTCCGGGCACTCCAAGCCAGGACTACTTTGCAAGCGGGGCACCCCTGAGAACTGTCTGTCCGGGGTGGGGGTTGGGTCCCTTTAAGCACAGCCCTCGGCTAGCGTGAGACAGCAGCTCCACGCTCTAAGTCCTACTCTGATGCCCTGCCGGCACTGCTTCTGGCCATCCTTAACCTCTGTTCAGGGTCCACTCAATGTGGACATGCTAGTTCGAATTAGCAAAACGCTAATTCGAACTAGTTTTTAGGTCTAGCTGCGCTAATTTGAATTAGCTTAGTTCGAATTAACTAATTCGAACTAAGTTAGTTCGAATTAGCGCTGTAGTGTAGACATACCCTCAAAGAGGAAGGATTATACCAACTTAGTCCAAAGAGGACCCAAAGTTCATTTTACAGTCATAGCCTAATTTAATTAAGTCTGACAAGTAACCTACGTAAGAGTGTAGTATTATTAAACCTTAAAAACTGATATTTATTTTTTTCTGTTTACATCTTTTAAAACTCTTACATTACAAACATGAGTAATAACAGAATCTCAGTTTGTAATATGATGTCATTATTACATTTCAGTTACAGGTAAGAATTACCTCTGATATATCAAAATGAAAATCTAAGGTCTTCCCAGGTAGTTCCTTGGAGACATTATTAAACATTTTTGTGAAAGAAATTTCAGGAGAACCAATATCACCGCCATAAGACTTTGGAACATCATTAGGAACAACTAGACTTGCTGATCGAGACACCACCAGTTTCAAAATATTAAGAGCCTCCTTCCAGTATGGACTCTACCAGAAAATAAAATGTACATGAATTACAAATGTGCACACATTACAAAATAATTACTTCCAGTAGATGTAGCTATCCATAGTACACAACAGTTGTTGTTCATGATACTTTAGGTAGAAATCTATTAATTACAGATTTTTTATTTTAAAAACGTATAGAAAAGCTCACATCTTTCAATCTCAATGTGTACCTTCATATATCTGTAAATAGGAAATGCACAAAACAAAATACGACAAAATCTCAACTGCCATGTTTACACCAGGCAACAGATAGCATAAAACTGTCATTATGCACTGCATTAAAATATGAGGTAAAGGAATGTGCCTCAAAAGCGTCTTGTGTATGCATTCATTCTAATCAAGAAAATAATTAGATTGTTTTAGTCAGATATGAAATGTTTTTTGTGATAAAAAATTAAATTTATATAGTGAGTTAACACTACCTACAATTTCTAAAAACAGCTGTCTGGGAGTTCTGTATTCTACACTAAGACCTTACGGTCTGCAGAGGCAAGGTATAACAACAATGAGGATATGCCCTGCATTCTGCTTTCTCCCCAGTGAGGAAGACATTAAAATGTAGACAACAGAGAATAGAGAAAGGTGCATGAGGACGGAATGGAAGCAGCAGGAGGGTATTCCACTGATCCTGCACATTCCATGAGGTTCACTTTCTTTTCTTCCTCCCTATTAGACTTAGAAAGGTGTCATCTGGGCCTCATCCATCAGCAAGCCTTAGTAGATCTTTATCAGACTAGAGATCATTACAAACCCAAATAGGGTAGCTGGCTCCCTTTCCAGCCCAAACAGTATACAGTAAAACTCCATTGGTCCGGCATCCAATGCTCCGGCACTCCTGATGGTCCGGCACCAACGGGAACCCGGAAGTGCTTCAGGCAGCTGGACAATTGGAGCTGCTCTGCGCCCAGCTTTCCCGATTCAGCTGCTGCTGAAACTGACCAGCAGCTGAATAGGGGAACCCGGAGGCAGAGCAGCTGGGGTGCTGCTGGGTTGGTCCCCTAGCGCCGCCCCTCAGCGCTGCGGGACCAACCCGGCAGCACCCCAGCTGCTCTATTGCAGGCATCCCCGATTCAGCT